CGCTGTCCAGGGAGACCCGGTGCTGAAGCCCCTTAGGATCCCGCCCGTACCCTGGCTGGGGAGCGATTTGAGCCCCGCCCAGTCTCCTTGCGCTGAACTCGCAATAAAAGCGCTTTCTTCTCCCCAAAGCCGGGCCATAGTGTCGGTTCCTATGCCTGGTGACCCCGTGTGGGCCTCAGGCTCTGGGCCGTCCCAGTCACAGGTCCCTCCCCAACAGCTGCCACTATCTACTTGGTGCCAACAACACGCCAGGCCGCTCGTCCCCCTCTGCTCCCTCTAATCCGTGTGACGGGAAGGGTCAGGGACAAGGGATACTGGGCACCATAGCCGTCTGCACGGGAGGCGGCTCACAGCTGCCCAGGAGCACAGCGGTCCTCGTGTGACTCCACAGGGGGAATTGCCAACCCGCCCCGCCATGCTGCCCGGGCGACAGTGCGCGTAGGAGCCCAGGAGGGAAATCACGCCCGTGCAGAATCCCAGCAGCCACGGAAACCACGGCTTCCCTGTTTACCGCCACGGCAAGCACCTCCCCGCAGGGACTGCAGGAGCCAGCTCACAGAGCACCGTGGGGCCCCCGCGCCCCAGCTGGGCTCACCCACACGGACCGGGGATGGCTTCCTGCAGCTTTCAATGTAAGCATTTGACTGTTACAAAAACATGAAGGTTATTACTTTTTTTTAATTAAAAAACAAACCAGCAAACGTGCCCGGGCTGGTTTGGCTCCGTGGATAGTGTCGGCCCGCGGACAGAAGGGTCCGGTTAGACTCCAATTAAAGGAACGCAGCTCGGTTGCAGGCTCATCCCCGGCCCTGGTCGGGGTGCGTGTGGAAGGCAACCAGCCGAGGTTTCTCTGTCTCTCCCCTTCCCTTCCACTTGCTCTAAAAATCAATGGAAAAATACCTTCACATGAGGATTAACAACTACAGTAAAAATACACTGTGCAGCCTCACCGCCCTTCAGCAGACACGAGGCCATTGGCACACCTTGTTCCTCCCAGAACAGCAGCGGGCCGGGCCGAAGGGGGGCGGGGACCGGGAGATGCGCCCCACCCGCCCCCCAAGCCAGGAAGGGGCTGGGCTGCGGGGACCCTTCCTGGCCCAGGCTGACACCCCGGGGTCTGTCTTTCTAGAAGTCTCTCTCCAAACCACGGCTCTGCCCCAGGTCGGTAGGAGGTCAAGCTTCCATCGTCCCGGGGGGAACCAGTGGGGCCATGTCCTTCCTCTGGTCCCGCTCCGGCTTCCTCAGACCCTCCGGCCAGCGCAGCATCCGGCCTCGCAGGAGAACCTTCTGGGAGGCTCTCCAAACCGCGGCCGCCCTGCCCTCGGGCGCTCCGGCTTCAGCAGGGCAGCGAGGGCTCCGGGACAGAGTCGTCGCTGAAGCTGTGGGGCTGGGTGCCCGGCTCCTGACTCAGGTATTTCTCTACAGAAAATTCAACATTTTTTTGCCTGGCCGGCATGGCTCAGTGGTTGAGTGTCGACCTATGAACCAGGAGGTCCATTCCCGATCAGGGCACATGCCCGGGTTGAGGGCTCGATGCCCAATAGGGGACATGCAGGAGGCAGCCGATCCATAACTCTCTCTCATTAATGTTTCTCTCTCTCCCTCTCCCTTCCTCTTTTTTAAAATATATTTAAAAAAGCAAACAAACACAACATTTTTAAGTGCTAAACAAGCACCAGTGAGACGGGGTCAGCTCACAGAATGGGGTTAAAGGCCTCACTCACCTCAGGGTCCCTGGGCGGCACCCACGCCCTCCTCACTGCATCCCTCTCCGCACCACAGTGGCCCTGATTGGTGGCTGTGCCTGCCTCTCATCCCCGCCCCCTCCCCCGCACCCCCCTCCCGTGCAGGGGCATCAGTGCTGCTCCTTCCAGCAACAACAGAGACGTCTCGGTGCCACACGGAGCCGAGAAACCAGACACGACCAGGGTCTAGGACTGTCCATGGCTCCCCTCGCGGGCCCGAGAGGGCAGGGCCACTCAGGAGTGACAGCCTTTTCTACGTCCCGTCCCGCTGGGGCCACTGCAGGGCCGTCAGAACCCGGACTGAAGTCGAAGATCTCTGCGACTCACTGTGTGCAAACTGGGCCTCAACCGAAGACACGCCCCGAAAAATAGAACCCCCGCCCCAGAGAGCCCATCCTCGCTCCCCACAACCGAACGCAGCGTCCGAGCCCAGAGTCCACGGGGACCTCGATGGCACTCACCTGCCTCCTCCAGGCTGGGGAAGTGCTGGACATTCAGGTCAGCGGACAGCAGGACATGGAGCACGGGCTCCTGCGGGACAGAGAGAGGTCAGCGCCGGGCGGGGACGCCACGCTGTGGCCAGGGGGCAGCCCGCCCGGCACCCACGGGCGAGCACGGTCTCCCTCACAGTCCCCGGGTGGGTACCACTCCCTCCTCAGGGAAACGGAGTACAGACCAGGCCCCCGGGGACAGGGACGGTGTTAAGAGAGATTTTTAGGCCCGGCTGGCTTGGCTCACTGGTTGAGCATTGACCTATGAACCGGGAGGTCATGGTTCAATTCCAGGACAGGGCACATGCCCCGGTTGTGGGCTCAACTTCCAGTAGGGGGTGTGCAGGAGGCAGCCGATCCGTGATTCTCATCATTGATGTTTCTATCTCTCTCTCCCTCTTCTTTCCTCTCTGACATCAATCCTATATAATAAAAGCGTAGCATGCAAATTGTCCCCTTGACCGGGAGTTTGACCAGGAGGCAGGGCCGGCTGGGGGAAGGGAGGGAGTACCCGGCCGGCAGCCGGCAGCCACTAGGGACCCTACCAGTGCACGAATTTCATGCACTGGGCCTCTAGTAAAATTGTTGATTTTTTACAGAGGGGAAGGGAGAGAGATAGAGAGTTAGAAACATCGATGAGAGAGAAATATCGATCAGCTGCCTCCTGCACATCTCCTACTGGGGATGTGCCCGCAACCCAGGTACATGCCCTTGACCGGAATCGAACCTGGGACCTTTCAGTCCGCAGGCCGACGCTCTATCCACTGAGCCAAACCGGTTTTGGCTAAAATTGTATTTTAAGAAAAGAGAAGTATTTTTAAATAAGTACAAAGGACACAGACGAGTGTCTTGCAAACACGACACAGAACCTAACGGTCAGGAGCAAAGCCCTGAGGCCAGATGCCGAGTGGGATGCGTGGCCGCCATCCTCGCTGTGTGGCCTTGGACAAGTTTCTCAGCCTCTCTGGGCCTTGACACCCTCGTCCCGGCACAAGGATGGTGATAACACCAGCCTCAGGGCTGGTGAGAGTAGCAGGTGCCGGCTGTTTGGGACGCCCACCTGCAGGCCGACGAGGGCGAGGGTGAGGCCCTGCCGCCGGAAGTCCTCCAGCAGCTCCCGGAGCCCCAGCACCACCGTGTAGTCGAGGCTGCAGAGGTGGCTGCACTCCAGGACCGCGGAGCGCGGTGGGGACGCTGCGGGGACAGGCACGGGCAGTCACACTGCGAGGAGGAGGCATGGGCATGGCGAAGCCATGGACAGCTCCGGCCCGGCGGGAGGAGTCCGGGGGCCCGCGACAATAGCACTTTCCCTTCCCCCCAAACACCAAGTCGGAGAGGGAGCAGGCGCTCAGGACAATGCTGGGGAAACGCCACCCTCACTGGGCGCCGGGAGTGAGGGGCCAGTGAGGGGGACGCCACTGAGACGCCCAGACCTCCTCCCTGACCGAGGGCAGGGCCTGGGG